AACTTTAGATGTCTCTGAGAATAACTTTATAACATAGAAATTAACTTTAGATGTCTCTGAAAATAACTTTGATGACTTCGAGAATAACATTTGATGACTCTGAGAACAAGTTTGATAGCTCTGAGAATAACTTTAGATGTCTCTGAAAATAACTTTGATGAAAGAAGATGTCTTAGATTAACTTTTGATGACTTTGAAAACAAGTTTGATGAACAAAGATGTTTTGAAAGTTTCTCTGACGAACGAAGGTGACTCTGAGAATAACTTTTATGTCTTAGAGAAGAACATTGATGGTTTAGAGAGAATATCTTTGATGAAAAATGATGTCTTAGATTAACTTTGATGACTCTGTGAATAAGTTTGATGACTTTGAGAACAAGTTTGATAGCTCTGAGAATGACTTTTATGCCTCTGAGAATAACTTTGATGAATAAAGATGTTTTGGAAAGTTTCTCTGAAGAACGAAGGTGACTCTGAGAATAACTTTTGTTAGCTCTTTGAATAACTTTGATGAACGAGAGTGAGTTAGAGATTACCTTTGTTAACTCTGAGATCAACTTTGATGAACAAAAGAGAGTTAGAGATTACATTTGATAACTCTAAGATTAACTTTAGATGTCTCTGAGACAAACTTTTATAACATAGAAATTAACTTTAATGACCAAAAGTGAGTTAGAGAATACCTTTTGATGACTCCGAGAATAATTTTGATAGCTCTGAGAATGACTTTTGTTGTCTTGGAATAACTTTTGATTGTTCTGAGAATAACTTTTGTTGTCTTGGAATAACTTTTGATTGTGCTGAGAATAACTTTGAGGGCTTAGAGAATGTCTTTGATGTCTCGAAGGATGTCTTAGAGTGTAACTTTGGTGTCTTTGAGTAAGTCCTTGATGTATTGAAGAGTGTCTTTGATTTCTCGAAGAGTAACTTTGGTGTAACGGAGAGCACCTTTGACTATTTTTCTTACTTAGCGACATATAATTTTAGTTACGAAAGTGTTGAAAAAGTTACATTTGACTATTTTAGTGCTCCACAAAGTATAAATGTCAGTTAAGAACGACGATGATAGATATCTTTGACTATATTTTCTTACTTGACGATGGATAAAGTTAGTTAAGCAAAAAGACAAAACATGATGAACATGGCTTTTTCTGTTGATTGATGGATAATTTTAGTTATGAAATGACAATGAAACATGAAGAACACGGTTATTTCTGATGACTGGGGAATAAGTTTAGTTAAGAACAGTGCTGGAAAGATTCCTTTGACAATTTTTCTTACTTAGCGACATATAATTTTAGTTACGAAAGTGTTGAAAAAGTTTCCTTTGACAATTTTTAGCTAAGAGAAAGGTTGTTTTAGTTAAGAACAGTGTTGAACGAGGCTATTTCTGACTATTTTTAGTTGACTGGATAATAAGTTTAGTTGAGAAATGACAAGGAAACATGATGAAGTAACTATTTTTAGTTGACTGATGAATACTTTAGTTAAGGAAAAAGACAAAACATGATGAACATGGCTTTTTCTGTTGATTGTTAGATAATTTTAGTTATGAAATGACAATGAAACATGAAGAACAAGGTTATTTCTGATGAATGGGGAATATGTTTAGTTGTGAACAGTGCTGGAAAGATTCCTTTGACAATTTTTAGTTGACTGGATAATAAGTTTAGTTGAGAAATGACGAAAGTGACTATGTTTTAGTTGATTGGCGAAAGATTTTTAGTTAAGAAGTTACAAGAAAGGTTTGTCTTTGTAAATTTGGAACTGAATAAAGTGTAGATTTGTTTAAGAACATGGCTGGTAGAACTATTAAGTTGACTACGAGAATTACTTTGACATAGTTTTGCAAATAAAAACTGGGTGACTAAAATTGTTGAGGAAACTGTAATGCAGTATAATATTATTTGACAAAGAAACTAGTTAGTGAATGGAAGAAACAAATTGGTTAAAAGAAACAAAGAACATAAAAAATTGAGGTTAAGTAGGGGAATGAACACAGTGAACATACGGTGAACACAGAAAACATGTAAGAAAAAGTTGATGAATACAGTGAACATGCTGGGAATATGAACTTACAGAGAACATGAAAACATGATAAGGAGAATAGGGAATACAAAGAATGAACAATGGACTTGTGAAGAACATGGAGAATATGACAAAGAATGTAGAAAACATGTAAGTGAAGGTGAAAAACGAAGTGATCTTGTGAGGAACATGAACTTGTAGAGGAACATGAATATTGACAAAGAACACAAAATATGGAAGTTAGCATGAATATTGAGTATAAAAGTTGTAAAGAGAACATGTGATGAACATGAAAACATAGAAAATATGACTAGACTTTGTAGAGAACATAATGAGACTAAGAGAAAGATTACAGAAAAAATGGAGATACTTGTGAAAATATGAACTGAATGGGACTGTGAACATTTGTAGAACATGGAGTGAACACGGATGAGAATACGAAGAACACAGTGAATATAGAGAAAATATGCAAATACAGGGGGACAAGAGCTGGAGCTCTGTAACTGACTTGATCTTATTTACTACGTCTGAAATATGACTGTTTAAAATTTCAGGGGGATTGGACTGCTAGTAGCGAAAATGTGGTCTCTGCCAAATTTGGGTCTTTAATTGGACTCTGATTAATTTCGATCATGAACTGGACTCTGAATATTTTGGCACAAAGTAGACTCTGGCGAATTTTGCTAGAAAACTGGACTCTGATGAATTTCGATCAAGAACTGGACTCTGTCAAATTTTCACAGATTACAGGACACTGATGAAATTTGCTCTCAAAGTAGACTCTGGCGAATTTCTGTTGATAATTGGACTCTGATGAAATATGAGCTAAGTACTGTCTCTGACTAATTTTGCTGACAAAGTGGACTCTGTTCATTTTTAGGTATAAAATGGTCTCTGATGAAATATGAGCTAAAACTGTCTCTGACTAATTTTGATCTCAAAGTAGACTCTGGCGAATTTGAGCATAAACTGGACTCTGATGAAATATGAGCTAAATACTGTCTCTGACTATTTTGCTGACAAAGTGGACTCTGTTCATTTTTAGGTATAAAATGGTCTCTGATGAAATATGAGCTAAAACTGTCTCTGACTAATTTTGATCTCAAAGTAGACTCTGGCGAATTTGAGCATAAACTGGACTCTGATGAAATATGAGCTAAATACTGTCTCTGACTAATTTGCTCACAAAGTGGACTCTGTTCATTTTTAGGTATAAAATGGTCTCTGATGAAATATGAGCTAAAACTGTCTCTGACGAATATTGCTCTCAAAGTAGACTCTGGCGAATTTTCGGTATAAACTGGACTCTGATGAAATATGAGCTTAAAACTGGGCTCTGTTCAATTTGGTCTTTACAGATGAAATAGCCGTAAATGGATATAAAACTAAATGTTATGGATAAGTTGCCTGTTTTCCTTAACAAAACATCTAAGACAATATTCTCTGAAAATGGTCCTTTTACAAATTCGGTCATAAACATATAAATAAACTTCTATGATTATTTGAAACTCTGAAAATAGTTGTAAGGAAATAGGAGGAGGAGAGAGAGAGAGAGGAGGGACGGTAGATATATTATGGAGATAAGATATGATAAGAGCCGACTGGCTGGCCGGGCGTAAAGTAAATAAAGGTGACGCGAGAGATTGCGAGGTAAGGGGGGAGGGAGGGGGGTGTGATGTACGAAACCCTGAAAACTATGACTTACACAGGTGATTTTCTAAATTTATATGAAAACTATGGCTTACACAGACGGATTTTGTAAGTTGAAAACATGTAAAACATGTCCGTAGAGTTCTCCTGGAAGCCCTAAAGAGCTACATACGTTACTTGAATTTGTCCCATAAGGCCTTAACAAACTTCTATGTCTCGGAAATTATTTTCTCATAAGAATTCCATACTTCTAAAATCTGTGACACAAAATTTACCTGAAAACCCTGGCTCACACAAACGATATTGGAACCTCAAAACCCTGGCTCACACCGACGATATTGGAATCTGAAAACCCTGGCCCGCACAGACGATATTTTCCCTTTGGAACCTGAAAACCATGGCCCGTACAGACGATATTTGACCTGAAAAAAAATATCGTCTGTGTGGAGCCATCCCCCCTACTAGTTAAACGTGTATGACCAATATGTAACCTCGTCCCCCACTTAAATCCTCAGTTAAGATTAAGAATACGGATCTTCTAAACAGCTAACATGTTAAACCTTATTGACTAATAATAACCCAGATAGAACAGGATTAATAAATGGTATTAAATATCAATTATTGATATTTATTCACTTTTAATTAAACTTAAGTTCCTGTTCTATGTCAGTTAACTCTATAACCCCCCGCTCCCACTGTGGAATTGTGTAAAACTCATTACTTATGGAATATACAGTCCACTAAATGTAATATACAGTCCAATGACGAGGAAAACAATCAATAAAATAACAGTCACAATCCCACATATAACACTGAACACACACACACATAATACATAAGAACGTTTTCTTTCACAAACATAATGGTAGACGGATGTAATATTAAGGGTGGTTGTGGTGGTTATCTTCTTGAGGTTATCTTGAGATGATTTCGGGGCTTTTAGTGTCCCCGCGGCCCGGTCCTCGACCAGGCCTCCACCCCCAGGAAGCAGCCCGTGACAGCTGACAAACACCCATGTACCTATTTTTACTGCTAGGTAACAGGGGCATAGGGTTAAAGAAACTTTGCCCATTGTTTCTCGCCGGCGCCTGGGATCGAACCCAGGATCACAACTCCAGCGTGCTGTCCGCTCGGCCAACCGGCTCCCCTACTGGTGGCCAAAACCACCAGTAGCTTCAGAGCGCCGTGTGACAAGTACTGGGAAGACGGGACACTACGAGCGTAGCTTACATCACCTAACTACAGGCAACACACCTGTGTTTCCCCTGCCACAAGAGAGGGCGCCTATAGGGAGCACCGCTTAGTACAGAGTGCCAACTCACCTGGTAGTCCTGGAGGCTCTGACCAGCCTTGAACATGAAGGTGCCAGGCATGCCAGTCATCCAGTCCCCAAGGGTCTTGCGGTCCGCAGTCTTCCCTCTCAGGATCAGGAACTTGTCCATGGTGACCGGCAGGTCCAGGAAGGTCATCCCGTTCCCGCCCCACTTTACGCTGCCCCAAGTGCTCGTCATCGCCACCTGGTGGTGAAGGTTGTCGTCATCACATTAACCAACTCATCCTTTATATCTGGAGTATAAGCTCCCTTTACCAACTAAAATTACTACACAAAATGAACTTAAGAATATAAAATTGACTGTGCAAATTGAACATTTAAGTGGAGGCGACGAGTCACAATAACGTGGCTAAAGTAATTTGACCAGACCACACACTAGAAGGTGAAGGGACAACGACGTTTCGGTCCGTCCTGGACCATTCTCAAGTCGATTGTCAAGCTCCTGATGGATGACTAAAGTGCATATAGTGAAGGGAGGGAGGTTTAAATCAACAAGAAAACCCAAACAAAGGTTGGATTAACCTATTTTAGCCCTTCATAACCTAGTCTTGGGATAGAAATCAGGGCTGGGTACAGTGGACACCAAGGTAAAAACTGGTTCTACTTTGGTGGGTAGAACTAGTAGATTCTTGGGTTCTAAGCTTTCATCTCTTCATGTAGGAGTGGTAGTGTGGGTCTGGGACATCCCTGATACCGTTTGGAGTTGATCAGAATTAAAACAATGGTCCACCTGACCTACATTCTACCATACATTAGTCACTTGCTTAATTAACAAAGTTACAAGTTGGTCTTCAAAGTTGGCAATCTTGTATGTATTATACTAAAGGATAACTTGTATATTTTGATAATTACCAACTTGTATTACTAAAAGTTCTTCAAAGGAAGAACAAATTAAACAATTCCTTAAAAATCTCAAATTTTTATCACAGTTCATCCCCAATAACTAACTCCTTTCCCTATAACAAAGCCCTTTTTTCATACCCAAGATGCTTCATAGTCTTTCCAGGTTGGCGGCGCCTTTTGATAATTACTGAAAGTTACATTCGCTGAACCAAATCCCTTTCGACCTAATCAGTTCATCTACGAGGAAAGATGAGCCTTCCAGGAGACCGACGACTAACTCACCGACTTGAGGGCAGAGAGGAGGTCGAAGTCTGGTCTGACAGGAGGGTTGTCCTCCTTGAAGGCCTCACACTTTATGTAGGTAATGTTGCTGTAAGCGCCGCTAGCTGCCAGAGTCCTGTGGATAAATAGATAGATAAATCGATATATGGTTGGATGGATAGATGGACAGATGCTTGACAGACCCGAGCAACGCTGGGAATAAGGGGGCGGTTGACCTGTTCCCCTTCCCTTCCCTCCATGAAATGGCAAAATATATCATTCCACTCTTGCTAAATACCAGTCCAACTACTTGGGGTGGACGGTAGAGCGACGGTCTCGCTTCATGCAGGTCGGCGTTCAATCCCCAACTATCCAAGTGGTTGGGCACCATTCCGTCCCCCTGTCCCATCCCAAATCCTTATCCTGACCCCTTCCCAGTGCTATATAGTCTTAATGGCTTGGTGCTTTCCCCCTGATAATTATCTTCGCTAAATACCACCTCATTAAGTTATTCAGCATATTTTCTACATAACAAAAGTTAGTTTTTCTTATGTAGTTTATTGATAAACATTATTTATTGAAGTTGGTTACAGTGGTGGAGGATAGAGGACGGTCGTGAAGGATCGGGAAGGTTGTGACATGGAATTTGGTATTGGATTTCATATATACGTTAGAATATTTACAAATATAAAACTTTCTATTTCGTATGCAAAACACAAACGTCCTCTCTACCTAGAAATTAAGTGATTTTCATATATTCATGAAGCAAGAGTCGACGCCGCTGGAGACGACTCACCCTGCTGCCTTGATGCCCCTGATGGCGTAGTCGAAGTAGAAAGCAGAGTCGATCTCCGGCGTGGCTGTGAGCTGGAAGTCCTTCTGGAGCATGGCGAGTCTGCCGCGGGTGTCGGCGCTGGCGCGAGGCCGCAGATACACCACCGTGGCGTTCTCACACCCACACTGCACGTCGTCGTCGTCCTGAAGGAGTAACAACAGTACCCGAGACCTCCAGCTTAGTACGGAACCCGGGACAATGGAGACACTGATCCTGCCATGCCTCCAGGCAGTCAGCAGAGGATGTGTGGCTACAACTCCTCCAAGCAGGCAACAAACTACCTTTCAGACTAAGTTATACAAGACTGCTGTTACCCAGGCAGCAGGTCCCCCCTCTGCGACGGCGCTGGAACCAATCGTATTGGCGTATGCCTTTCCATTGGCGACTTTCAGCGCCGAGGAGAGGGGGGACCTGCTGCCTGGGTAACAGCTTCTCCCCCGAATCAACCTACCCTGGCTTTGCGCCCTGGTGAGGCCACTCCAGACCGACAACCAGAGCGCAACTCCATAGTCTCCTGAGACTGATGGATGTCTACTACTATACAAGACTAGCCAGAGTTAGACCGGGCTTGCAATGCAGAATGCTCGAGACTGATGACTGGTACACTACAGGTACAGGTTATACTCGAACTCTCATCCACATCAATAACTCAGTTCGGTTCTGCCCACCAGCTATGAATGGCAAACAATTTGTAAATACAAATTTCAAACAAAATTTTCTTAGTAATATGAAAAATTATGCACTGATCTCGGGAAAGATAAGAACAAAAAAGATATTTCTATTCACAGATATAATTATATTATAGAACTTGGAGCGTAGGCTCAACAGTTTTACTTAGTAATGCACGGGATTTGGTCTAAACAATAGATTGTACCCAAGTAGATAGACCATATACCTTTGACAAAGCATACCAGGCATACTTCCGCCCAAACATTCCATTAGCTGTGGCAGCATCAAGGATTCTACTGATGGTCTTCTGTCGTCCCACAGCGAAAAAGTTAACGATGTCTGCATTCTGTGAGAGAGAGAGAATGAGGGACAATCCTCTCACAAGGGACCTTGTAACGTTAAGTATTGCAGCCAGATTTTATAACATGTTAGAGGGAGTGAGAGAGAGGACTTGCCTTGAGCCTCATGGTCTGGTTGCGCACCAAGTTGTCCGTGGCCTCCACCATCGTCATAATGTGTCGACACGGGAGGTTCATCAGTAGCGACTTGTACTTGTGCTCCATCACTGTGAGGGAAGATAGGGGTGAGAGAGATATAAGGAGGAGGGTGGCGGCAGGTAATATGGAGGTGTAAGTAGTGGTTGGACAGGGAATGTATGATCAAGGACAGAGGAATTAGTGGTGGGGGGGGGGGAATGGTCAACAGAGGGAAGGGGTCATCGGAAGGTGGAGGCAGGAGACATGGGAAAGGGGCAGGTTGGAGAGATGATGGGAGGGAGACAATAATACGCAGATGTAGCATTAAAAATTATGTTACTAATAGCGAATATACCTCAAAATAATAGCAGTAAATGTCAAGAGCTGTCACCATAATGTGCTGGTACACGTACCGGAAGGAGTGCGCCAAGACACGTACCGGAAGGAGTGCGCCAAGACACGTACCGGAAGGAGTGCGCCAAGACACGTACCGGAAGGAGTGCGCCAAGACACGTACCGGAAGGAGTGCGCCAAGACACGTACCGGAAGGAGTGCGCCAAGACACGTACCGGAAGGAGTGCGCCAAGACACGTACCGGAAGGAGTGCGCCAAGACACGTACCGGAAGGAGTGCGCCAAGACACGTACCGGAAGGAGTGCGCCAAGACACGTACCGGAAGGAGTGCGCCAAGACACGTACCGGAAGGAGTGCGCCAAGACACGTACCGGAAGGAGTGCGCCAAGACACGTACCGGAAGGAGTGCGCCAAGACACGTACCGGAAGGAGTGCGCCAAGACACGTACCGGAAGGAGTGCGCCAAGACACGTACCGGAAGGAGTGCGCCAAGACACGTACCGGAAGGAGTGCGCCAAGACACGTACCGGAAGGAGTGCGCCAAGACACGTACCGGAAGGAGTGCGCCAAGACACGTACCGGAAGGAGTGCGCCAAGACACGTACCGGAAGGAGTGCGCCAAGACACGTACCGGAAGGAGTGCGCCAAGACACGTACCGGAAGGAGTGCGCCAAGACACGTACCGGAAGGAGTGCGCCAAGACACGTACCGGAAGGAGTGCGCCAAGACACGTACCGAAGGTGTCGTCGTAGATGATGCCAGCATTAGTGATGTTCTGAGTGCGGACGATGTCTCTGATGGCCTGGACGATGATGTCACCAGGCGGCATCAGCTGCACCAGGTACTTGCTTTCGTTGGATGTCAACGTCCGCCACTCCCTGAGGGGGTCACAACCACACGCTAGCAGGCACATCCAGGCACGCACATTGTACATCCAGGCACGCACATTGCACATCCAGGCACGCACATTGCACATCCAGGCATGCACATTGTACATCCAGGCACGCACACTGTAAGTTAACACGTTCACAGAGACGCATGAACAATGGCACTGGCATCCCCCTGGCACCATATACAAGCCTTCTGTGAGGTCCTCACCCGTGGACTGACCTACAGTTTACATCGTCATCTCTGGGAGTGGCAGCAGGATATGTATCCCTGACAGCTAGTTCGAAATTTGTGTTTTTTGTTGGAATCTGTTGTTGATCAGTCACGATCAATATTCTCTCTTCTCTTCCTAGACTCGCAATCAACATCCCTCCCAGTCATACTCGTTACTTCCTTCCCTCTTCATTTCTCATCCATCCACCTTCATTCCCTACTTCTTTCACTCAATCACCCTCCCTTCCTCCTTCCTTCCTTCTCAAACCCACCTTCTCTCTCACTCCATCTCCCACACACCTTCATTCCCTCCCTCCCAGGAGTTTGAAGCCCGTCAGTACCTAATGTCACCCTCCTGGCCATAGGAGGCGGAGAAGGTGGGAAGAGCCAGGGCCCGGGTGAAGCTCTTGGCCGTCTCGGCCATCATGCCTGTGGTGGTCATGTCGAGGATGATGTGTGGCGGCTTACTAGCGGTGATGGCTCCGTCCATCAGGTCGCAGGTCGCGTTGACCGTGCCCTCGATGTCGCTGCCTGCAACGCCGCCGCCAGAAGTAATAACTGAGGTTAGTATTACAAATACAAATATTTATTCAGGTAAAGTACATACGAGATACAAAAGTTGATGGATTTATAGATAGAGCTGGTACATACAATGCCTAAAGCCACTATTACGCAAAGCGTTTCGGGCAGGTCTCGGGTATTGGTCTCTGTTGGTCGGCAGATATGAAAGAAGCCGTATATGATTGCAAAAGATTAGTCGAGCAGTAATAAGAGTGAAGGAAGAACCATGAAGAAAACAGTGATGAAGTATTTTGGAAAAGTTAAAAAGCGAATCACCGAAATACATTGAAAAGCAAAATTAAAGCGATAAGTGAGAATAATAAAAATATTACATTATAAATAGGCAGAGAAAGAATATTGAAAGCTCTAGGAGAGGAAGGCATGAGAGGAGTGCCAATCTGGACATGTTTGCCTTAGTGGCTTAGCTTCTTGACGTTATCTTGAGATGATTTCGGGGCTTTAGTGTCCCCGCGGCCCGGTCCTCGACCAGGCCTCCACCCCCAGGAAGCAGCCCGTGACAGCTGACTAACACCCAGGTACCTATTTTACTGCTAGGTAACAGGGGCATAGGGTGAAAGAAACTCTGCCCATCGTTTCTCGCTGGCGCCCGGGATCGAACCCTGGACCACAGGATCACAAGACCAGTGTGCTGTCCGCTCGGCCTACTAGACTATCTGATTATACAAGCCGTCTGTGTTTAATAGGTGATTAAGCAGATAAGCTATCTCCAGTGTCAACAGGGTGGTTCGCAAATGCAAGAAACTTACCAATACCCCGGGACCCATAATAAGCTACAAATCAAACCATCTTCAGCAGGAGTGTACGGAAGCAGAGGGTTAGTTAATGATTGTTAAAAGTCCGCCTCGACTAGCCCTGATCATTGACTACTTTGATGACCTGGGGCCAGATTCACGAAGCAGTTACGCAAGCACTTACGAACCTGTCCATCTTCTCTCAATCTTTGGCGGCTTTGTTTACAATTATTAAACAGTTAATGAGCTCCGAAGCACCAGGAGGCTGTTTATAACAATAACAACAGTTGATTGGCAAGTTTTCATGCTTGTAAACTGTTTAATAAATGTAACCAAAGCCGTCAAAGATTGAGGAAAGATGTACACGTTCGTAAGTGCTTGCGTAACTGCTACGTGAATTAGGCTCCTGACCTTGGTGAGTGTGGGGCAGTTACTGTGTGGGGTCAATACTAGCTGCCTGTACCTTTCTTGATGACCATCACGTCCATACGGTCGACCACCACGCCCTCTGCCTGGTTCTTCTTCAGGTAGTCGATGGCTGCTTTAAGTCCCTGTTCCGCTGGGGCGTTTCCCTCCTCCCGCAGCACCACTGTAACCACACACACTGGTGTTTACACCTGTACCATCAACACCACTGTAACCACACACACTGGTGTTTACACCTGTACCATCAACACCACTGTAACCACACACACACACACTGGTGTTTACACCTGTACCATCAACACCACTGTAACCACTGTAACCACACACACACACACACTGGTGTTTACACCTGTACCATCAACACCACTGTAACCACACACACTGGTGTTTACACCTGTACCATCAACACCACTGTAACCACACACACTGGTGTTTACACCTGTACCATCAACACCACTGTAACCACACACACTGGTGTTTACACCTGTACCATCAACACCACTGTAACCACACACACTGGTGTTTACACCTGTACCATCAACACCACTGTAACCACACACACTGGTGTTTACACCTGTACCATCAACACCACTGTAACCACACACACTGGTGTTTACACCTGTACCATCAACACCACTGTAACCACACACACTGGTGTTTACACCTGTACCATCAACACCACTGTAACCCCCCCCCCCCACACACACACACTGTACCAACTCACCACCAATGTAACCACCAACACCAATGGAAGGAAGAAAATAAGAAGAAAAAAGAAGAGAGAAGAAAGAAGAAGGGGGAGGAGGACGAGGAGAAAGAGCAGCAGGAGGAGGAACAGGAACAGCAGCAATTCATTAGGCAGTGATGTGGTGGAGGCAGACTCCATGCAGTTTCATACGTAGCTATAATATAACTATAGGCTCAGGAACCTCTACACCAGTAGATTGAGAGTTGAGAGGCGGGAACAGAGCTGAAGCTCAACCCTCACAAGCACACCTACGCAAGTATACACACACCAATAATTGATGAGTGGAGCTGGGTGGCTGGTGGACGTGTTGAATAATGTAGGGAACTGTCGCTTCATCAGACAGGCATGCTGGAGTCCTCTATCTTACACACCTCCGGCTCCACCACACACCTGCTCAAACACGTGCCCACACCTGCTCAAACGCGTGCCCACACCTGCTCAAACACGTGCCCACAGCTTTCGTGGGGGCAGTGATGGATCACTTGTTAGATTCCAGATCGAATCCCACACCAGTTTACATTTACCCATTTGTAAATGTTGCGGAATGCTGAACTATGATTTTTAAAAGGTGAAGTTGGCAATAACTTTTACTTAACTTCATTCATCAGCTCATGTTCTGGTGGCTTGAGCAGCATGAGCAGCATGAGCAGCGCCCTGCACACCCTCGGTCGACCCCCCAGCCCTCCCCCCCCCCCCAGTGACCTGGCGAATGAATCCCTATTTCACGTCACTATGAACTTTAGAAACTCACTGGAATTACGAGACATCACCACGGGAGACATTTCCGACATTGGGCGGGGCTCACCATAGCCCGTGCTTCTTGCCCCGCTCCTGTGCCAGGTAAGTTACGGGTTCACCATAGTCCGTGCTACTTGGAACTTGTTCCGAGTAGCTGAATCTATAACAACAACGAGACTCATCTCGTTGTAGCTGTGATGGGAGCCTGGAGCTGACCTCCTTTTTTGCCAGCTGGCGAGGGCACGGAGCCACGGGGGCGAGGGCACGGAGCTACGGGGGCACGGAGCTACGGGGGCACGGAGCCACGGGGGCACGGAGCCACGGGGGCACGGAGCCACGGGGGCACGGAGCCACGGGGGCACGGAGCCACGGGGGCACGGAGCCACGGGGGCACGGAGCCACGGGGGCACGGAGCCACGGGGGCACGGAGCCACGGGGGCACGGAGCCACGGGGGCACGGGGGCACGGAGCTACGGGGGCACGGAGCTACGGGGGCACGGAGCCACGGGGGCGGTCGCTCGTCGTTCGGTCGAATATGGACGTAATAACTTTATCGAAGTATGCCGTGTTAATGGCCGCCACCCTGTGATTGGGAATACTTTAGCTACCGCGAGTGGTCACACCCCAGAGGCAGGCGGGTAGACTCAACCCAGACCATGGCTTCAGTTGGCACTCCTTGGACAGGAGTGCCAACCGCACTCCTTAAGTTAAGGAGTGCAAACAGTTAAGGATTGGCGTGGACTACTGTGCCAGGTAAATCCACTACGGGCTCGCCATAGCCCGTAGTGGATCCTGGAACTACCTGCTTTACCACTGTGCCACCGGGATTTACCTGCACCTGTTACTACAACTGGAGGGTTGAAATGGCCTAAACTACTCTATCCTTGAGATGTAGTTTACGATCTCAATAAACGTAGTTGATACTATCGCCTTACTGCGCACGTTTAACACACCAGGTGTTAAATGAGGAAGGGAAGGGAACTATGAAGGGTAAGCGCCAAGCTATTGCAACTATATAGCACTGGGAAGGGGATGAGTCACAATAACGTGGCTGAAGTATGTTGACCAGACCACACACTAGAAGTTGAAGGGACGACGACGTTTCGGTCCGTCCTGGACCATTCTCAAGTCGATTGAATCGACTTGAGAATGGTCCAGTTGAATCCCTTCAACTTCTAGTGTGTGGTCTGGTCAACACTGGTTAGGGGGTGAGAATAAGGATTGGGGATGGGACGGGGTGAAGGAATGGTAGCCAACCACTTGGACGGTCAGGGATTGAACGCCGACCTGCAAGAAACGAGACCGTCGCTCTACCGTCCGACCCAAGTGGTTGGACATGTGTTAAATGAGGAACAAGAATGCGCTTGCCCTCGACACAATGGTTAATACGGTGCTCAAACGACTGGATAGAAATATGACAAGTTGAGCAGCGTGACCCTAGGGTGTGTGGCGGGCCCAAAGGCCCACTAAACAAATGAAGGCCGATTGATTGATTGATGAAGATTAAGCCACCCAAAAGGTGGCACGGGCATGAATAGCCCGTAAGTGGTGGCCCTTTTGAGACATTACCAGTATCAAGAGCTGATACTGGAGCTCTGTGGAGGTGCGACTGCACCCTGCGTGACGGGAGATGTCTCCCGTGTGAAGGCCGAGTGTATCGTGGCATTATAAGCCACGGACCAGAAAGAAATTGTTATGGTCCTTGGGAAGGGTCAGTTATTACAGATCATTTCCCCATAATTACACACTAATTTAATATCTAAAAAAAGAAAATGAGTAGACACGTGATTGAGTCTTCCCAAAAAAGGTCAAAATCCAGCTGATGAGCGCACTGGTGCCATTATCCCTGGATGTGGAGACGCCTTTGTCTTGAATGTCGACGGTCGTGAGGTAGATGCGCCGACATGCGCCAGGGAAGACTTCCCTTATACTTTCCAACTTGGTCTTCAAGTCTGTACTATACTTGTGGCTGTACTTGGCCTGTAGACACACACAGGGGTTCTTGGGCTAGTGTTATGGATCGTCATGTTTAGCCTCGAGATCTTCAACCACTATAACACCCTTCAACATTTTGGCAGAAAATGCACTAACCCATCTAGACACTAGCCACGAATACCATAGTCGCAGATTATCTGACACTAGTCTAACTAGCTCGCTACACGACCGGTTGGAGGAGGAAGAGAGGAGGAGGAGGAAGAGGGGAGGAGGAGGAAGAGGGGAGGAGGAGGAAGAGGGGAGGAGGAGGAAGAGGGGAGGAGGAGGAAGAGGGGAGGAGGAAGAAGAGAGGGGGGGAGGAGGGAGAGGGCAATGGTTGAGGATCTTACACTCTACAAAACCACTACCTAGCCCGCCATGTCATCTTATGTTTGTGCGAAATTATTTCAATATTTGTGCAGTCATTGTGCATCCCCGCCACAGGACGTGTGGCGGGGGGAGGCAGGGCGTGTGGCGGGGGGAGGCAGGGCGTGTGGCGGGGGAAGGCAGGGCGTTATGAGGAAACTCACTCATTACTCTTCAAGAAACTGAACATTGTAAATGTGTGTTCCGTGAACTACCCTGTGTCACAGTGTCATGTATCATGTGTCCACCACCCAGTCCTCTCCAGTGGTCAAAACGTCACAAAAAAATGATGTACTGAATCGCCCGAACTTAATCGAGGATCCACAAATCGAAAAAGATGTTTTAGCCGTAAGTAATTTATTCAACCCGTCCTCTTAAAAATAACGTCACTTTCCGCTGGTATGCGCACTATGGCCAAATTTGGACGTAATTTGAAATGAAATCGACTCACAAAAGTGACGTGCTGTTCCGTTTTCTGTTTGAGTCGTCCGGCGTACGCGCAGAGGCTATAAGAGGAAACTTTCCATTAACGTTTTTCATACCGTTTTGAAACTTTATGAGAATTTCCTGCCCACCTAACCTATCAGAGGACCCTTAACTTATTGTTGAAAAAAAATCCCAAATTTATTTTCATTTGTTTTCATTTTCAAATTACGTCCAAAATCGGCCATACTGACAAACGGCCAAAAGCGACGTTCATTTTAAGAAGACAGGTTGATTAATTAGTCGTCAAAATGCGATGTGCTGCTGGAGAGGACAAGGTTATAGCCTTCTGCCTCCGGACCTACAGGCCGGTGTCCCTAACTTGTATACCATGTTAGGTGGCGGCGGTCAAGGTATACCATGCAAGGTGGCGGCGGTCAAGGTATACCATGCAAGGTGGCGGCGGTCAAGGTATACCATGCAAGGTGGCGGCGGTCAAGGTATACCATGCTAGGTGGCGGCGGTCAAGGTATACCATGCTAGGTGGCGGCGGTCAAGGTATACCATGTTAGGTGGCGGCGGTCAAGATCCGTAGCGAAGGCTTTTGTAACATTTCACTAACACAGGTTCACACATACCAGTATACCTAATAGGTATACTGGTATGTGTGATATACATACCAGGTATGTATATCACACATGGTATACTGGTATATCTCATTTAGGTACTAATACCAGTACCTAAATGAGCCAAGAAGATATTAGACACCATTATTTTGTTGTCTGTGCCAGACTTGTTAATAGCCACTAGGCAGCGATGTGATGGAGGCAGACACCATATGCAGGTTTAATATGTACAGATGATAGCCTAACTTAGACTAATGTAGACTAAATAGCCTAAGCTACTATCATTTC